CGACCCTCCTCCTAGCAGGTGGCGCCTCCTATATAACAACGACCCTCCTCCTAGCAGGTGGCGCCTCCTACATTACGATGACCCTCCTCCTAGCAGGTGGCGCCTCCTACATTACGATGACCCTCCTCCTAGCAGGTGGCGCCGGCGTCTTACCTTCTCCATCTCCGCGAACACCTCGAGCGGTGCGATGGTGACGGGCGCCTCCTCTATAATCTTCTGATGTCGTCGCTGGATGGAGCAGTCGCGGCCGAACAGCGAGATCGCCTGCCCGTACTCATCCGCGAGAAGCTGCACCTCCAGGTGACGTGCTCCGCTCGCCAGCTTCATGATGAACACAGGCGAGCCGGGAACCTCTGCCTCCACCTGGTGGCAGAGGGCAGAGTTAACGGGTGGCAGTCGCGATGAAGGCGTCGCGGATTTACAGTGTTTCACGGGGGTGAAGACTGAGACGGGATTTAAGATGGGATTTAAGATGGAATTTAAAACAAGATTAAGAAGGAATTTAAGACAAGATTTAAGATGGAATATAAAACAAGATTAAGAAGGAATATAAAAGAAGATTTAAGATGGAATTTAATGCAAGATTTAAAATGGAAATTAATACAAGATATACGATGAAATTTAAGACAAACTTTTAATCGAGACAAGACTAAAATATGCCAAGACGATATACGGGGAATTTTCCAGGAAACGCATAGTGTTGAATTGCTGTAATTAGCGTGGATTCGTTAAGACGCAAATATTCCTGCAAGTTTCAACGCGTCAGTCATCGATTTCCCGAGACAATCTTCATGCGGGACTTTCCCACCAGCAGAGGGCGTGCATGGCACGGCATACCTGTCTGTAGGCGTTTGCGAACTGGTCCTCCTTCTCAACCTTACGGATGCCCTTGCCACCTCCGCCTTCCGAGGCTTTCACCATCACGGGGAAGCCAATCCTCTTTGCTGCCTGCAGAGACAATGCTCCCACTTACCATGTGTGAGATAATCTCGCAATACTGACCCTTGACATTAAAGTAGGAGGAGTGTGACTTAATTGTCAGCCCTGCTATATATACACATGTCGTTAGCGGGGCTGTAGGTACACATACCTCCAGGCCTTCCTCTGCACTGTGAATGCATCCCTTGTCATAGATGTGTGGAGGAACTGTGGCTACTTTACCATTGATCATATCCTCCTCTGTCCACTCGACGGTCAAGCCTGGTCGATTAGAATGGATATGAGTGAAGTAAACACCATACTGATCACAAAGTAATTAATGATAACAATGGAACAATGCGAGGCTACACCGNAGAGAGAGAGAGAGAGAGAGAGAGAGAGAGAGAGAGAGGGGGACTCACCTGAACCACTCCACGGTAGCGTAGGAACGCCCGCCGTCTGCGCAATGATACCAGATGCTATCTTGTCGCCGAGCGCCCACATCGCTTGCTCGGGCGGCCCGATAAACAAGAGATCATTCTTGTGAAGCAGCTCGGGAAGTTTCGGATTCTCCGAGGCGTGACCCCAGCCGGCCCAGACAGCCTGCAGACGACATTTACATGACACATGGCTCCGTCTACGTTACCGGAGTATATTTATTTTTATTTATTTATTTATTAGTTACTATTTTTTATTTTGTTTATTATTTTATTTATTAGTTATTTGGTAGTTATCCATATATTATATACATACAGTTACAATATATTTTTAATTCATGAAATTAGATACGAGTTACCCAAATGCACAAGTGCAACCATATAGTCAGGGGGCAGATTTCAAAAAGAGCTAAAATAAGGATGAGCC